TTGTGCCATAAAGAAGATGCATTAGCTGGACTAGAGAGAAATTACCATTTTTACCATATTTCCTCTAGGCAAAATTTGCCCACAAAGAATCTCTTTGCAATGCCAGCCCCATAAGCTTTTCGTGAACACAAAACATCATTTGTTTGAGATTACGAAGACCTAAACCCCCTTCTTCCAAGTGAGAACAAGCCATTTTCCACTTCACCTAGTGGGCTCGGAGGCATCCTTTTGAACTCCATAAAAAGAAACACATAAGTTCTTCCATACGTTTGAGCACCGCTCGTGAAATATTAGCACAACTCATAGTATATATAGAGAAACTCACAAGCACATATTTAATCAGAGTGATTGTACCACCAAATGGCAATAATTTTGACTTCCATCCATCAAGTTTGTAACGGAATAGCTCGAGCCATTCTCTAATCTTGTGTTGCTCAGTTTTCTTAACATTAAAGGATAATATTTGTTGTGCCAGAATAATATGCATTGGAGATAGAGGATCGCGTTGTCTTACTCCACGAAAGGATATAAGCTTTCCAGTATATATCCCATTGATACAAAAAGAATACCAAATGTTGCATAAGCTACAAAATATGAGATCGCAAGACTGATTGAGAAAATCCAAATGACCTCATAGCTCTCAAAAGGAATTACCACTCCAAATGATCATAAGCCTTCGCCATATCAATTTCAAAAACCACATTCTCACCATGCCCACTACGTATAAGGTCTCTCGTAAGTTCTTGAGCAAGAACCATACGAGTAGAAATATTCCGACCTTTGATAAACCATGCATGCTCTTCATGAATAATCTCTGGTAGAAGCTTGGCCAATCTTGTCGCAAGAATCTTGGAAATGATTTTCCTTGAGAAATTAACTAAATTTACTACTCGGTAAACCCCAATAAAACTTGCATCAATAAGTTTAGGAATTAAAACCAAGGTAGTAGACGTAATATCTTTTGGCAATTGACCTTCTTTGAAAAAAATCTGTAACAAAATCTTGGAGATCATAATTTTCCAGCAATTGATGACAAAATGGCTTGAGAATCCATCTTTTCCAGAAGGGCTATTAGGATTTATATCGTTGATGGCCTCCTGAATTTCTATTGATGAGGGAATTGTAGCAAAAGAATTTTTTTTCGCAGAGTAATGAGATACCGAATTTTTCGAGAAAAGCTCCATGTGGTATGCATCTTCTTTGAATAAATCCGGAAAAAAACTTTGTTGCCACATGACCTACATCTTCAGCACATGAAGTGAGTGAACCACCTTTTTTTTCAATTTGAATAACTTGCTTCCTCCTTCTAGTTTTGATCATCGAGTGATAAAACTTATTTTGATATCTCAACGCAAGATAGTAGAGGCCCAAAGCAGTGGGAGATGTCTCGCCACAAATTCATGGTGACACAGGAGTTATCTCCACGCAAGGTAGTAGCATCACGGGATTTGTCTCGCAACAACATAGTAACGGGATAGTGCGTGGACCCAGTGGGATTGATTCAACCACGGCGGATAAGGTAAACTGGATTCAACCTAAGCGAGGGGGAGGTTGATTCAACCCAGGTGGATTCACCATCGGAGATTGGTTTGTACAAACTAACATGGTAGCTCCCTCAGGTAGGCGGTTCTTCTGATCACCTTGTCTACTTCGCGATCAAGTCTTTATTCCCATAGAGGGTGCCAAAATGATATTGTATCACTTATTAAGGTGGATTAAATGGAACGCGAGGGTAGTCATCTCACGTGAGTAGGTGATCTAGGCAAAGCCGCCACCACGCGGAGAGCTGAACACGCCTGATTCTTCAACCTGCAAGGGTAACCACAAGTAAACTAAGTCAGGGGTTGATCCGGAGGAAAGCCCTCCAACACTCAAGTCAGTAGTTGCCTAGACATGCAGGTGGGTAGGTAGAACAATAAGAGTTCTAGGTAATTAATTAGACGTAAAGAATTGAACGTATCTTGTAAAGTGAGCCAGATGGGTTATTTATAGTGTAGTGAGTAAAATTCTTATGAGAGTAGAACTATAAATATGATTAATTAATAATAATGGATTTATGACCTCGAATTAATGGAATCGGGCCATCAATTAATGATCTTGTAAGGGGGGTGACAAATCGGACCTTTTAGGTGGCCCAAATACTCATTAGCTACGGAGGCAACTTCTGAGATTCTACGGCGACTACTTCGATTCCAGCCATTATGGCATCTCATCTAGTGGTTCATCGACCTGACAAAATCTCTCCAATGTCGTTGATCCTTTCTGCATCCTACTAAAAGAAGACATTTGCTCAAGTAATATCTCTAACTAGGGTTGCTCCCACCGCCCCTTCATGGTTCAGATTTCAATGAATTAACCTTCCTCCATGCTCTCCCGTGACTGATGATAATGCTTCTGCATATCTGTTCACATCCATTGAAATTGATATGTATGTCAAACAATTCAAACACGTACATGTAACGAAATTCTCTTCCGGAAGACCAAGTTTGCCAAAAAACATTGAAAATTAAAGAAGGCTCCAGTAGTTACTCTGATTGATGCCATGAATGTTCTTCTCATACCTGCTAATCATGAAGATATGGTTATGGCGCAAAGCCATGAATCTCATATGATTGCTACATCAGTATTTAGAATGTCCCCATGGGACAAGAATTTTGAATATGGGAGAGATAGTAATCTTGTTCATGTGTGGGTTAAACTACCACAATTACCCTTATTTACATACATCCGGCATAGTTACAACGTATTGGCAACTATTGAGGTCCTGGTGAAAAAACCATGTCAATATAGAATATCATGAATGCTATAATTTGTGTACAAGTTGACGTAGATTTCCAGGAGTGCAATGTAGCAGCTGGAATTTCTGAGATTCATTTATAGGGCAATTCTTTCACGTGGAGTGACAATCAGCAAGGTCAAAGAAGGATTTGGGGCAAAAACTTGATCGGATACTGGCTAAAGGGGAGGCTTTCGTGGAATTACCATCATTGTTGGTTACTCATCTTACAAGAACAGCTTCTGACCTTGCTCGTCTTCTTCATCATTGGCAGAATAAGGAGTCTCACAAAACTAGATTCATCTTTCATAAAATTAGGTTTGATTATGCTTTTTTTTTACCTTTGGTTAAATATATTTGAAATCAACATATTGAGGGTAGGCCTTGTTAAATTATCTACTAAACTTTTCAAGCTGAGGGAGGCGCTTAAGGAGTGGAATTGGGATGTTTTTTGCGAAGTGGAAAATAAAATTTAGAATCTTAGATGTCAAAGTGAGTCCCTGGAAGTTGATCTTCATATTCAGTGGAGTCAAGATGAGGAGAGCCAACTTTTGGATATCAAACAACAGTATGAACAGTGTCTTTGTTGGAAAGCATATATCACTTTTTCAGAAAAAAGAGAGAGATTTGGATTAAGGATGGAGATAGAAACACAAATTCTATCATGCGGCTATTAGACAGTTCACAAGGTCTGGGGTTTCTTTGCTCACATTTTGAATAAAACTCCCTTGATTCATTCAATGCAACATATTTGGGCTGCATGGCTTCAAGGTTATAGTTAGAGAAAATCACAAATGGGCGTGACCTTTATTGGAATTATCGACTGCAGTATATGAGAAATTTGGAAAAGGCACGAAAACCAGAAACCAAAGCTAGATTTGACAGTCATCCAATGCATGTGACTATGATCATAAAAGAAGTCTTTAACTTTCTCTAATGATGACATTTGTATTATCTCGTAAATAAGATTCTACTACATCGGAAAGGATTATTTTGGAGATACTTAACTTACATTTAATGGCTAGGAAGAATACTAAAGGTGGATGGTTGGTTTGAACGAAACCAATTGAGGAACCCTAAAACTCAACGTGGATGGTGCATGTTCTCCTCAACCGTCAGGTGGTGGGGATATCCTTAGCAATTCAAAAGAAAACTTTGTTTATTATTTTTTTAGGTCGTATGGGCATTGAAAAGCCGATCTAGCGTAGCTGGAGAGTAACCATGATGGATTAATTTGCTGCTATCAACTTCTAATGGTTTACGTAGAGATTCTCACGGATTATTCCCCGGCGGTCGAGATGCTTGCAGGCAACATGTAGAAAAAACTGGAAATAAGCTTATATTTTTCATAATATTTCAAAGCTACATCCTCATGAGGGTTCTATCAAATTACTTATCACGAACAGAATGTGGTAGTAGATGCTATGGCAAAGGAGGTGAGAAGAATATCAGTTGACAAGGATTTTAATCATCCCAGACATCTTCCTGCGCACATTCAGAAATTGATTTTTCTAGATACGATTGGTATAGCCAAATTTCGTTGAACCAGGGCTGCGATATGTGTTTTATAGGGTATTCTTTCCTTCTCTAGGGAGGGAAGGTTTTAAAGAGGCCAAACTCACTACACTCGTGTCTGTGATGCAATAAAATTTTACTATTGTTCTCAAAAAAAAGAAAATACTCATTAGCTTATTGGATTGACTGAATAAGGTATATCAAACATCAATAGCATCTGAACATTTTGAACACCAAAACACAAAACATGCATATCACAATACATATAGAAATTGTGACAATCAAATATGACACGGAAAACTCACTAGAATTAAAACTAACAAGGAAATTTGATCTGATAATCAACACAATCCTCCACCTATAAACACTCCCGATTTTAAAATTATTACGCTTCTTCTAAAACAGAAGAGAAACGATTCTCCAAAAATCTGAAAAGTATGGGTGAGATTTATGTGATGTGCGATTTAAAAATGGAATATGCATCCATTATGATCATTTGATTAAAATGCCAGTTAATGGTTAATTAAGGGTAATATAGATACAGTAGTTAATAGAAGGGGTTATCTTATGGGATTATATTACTTTTTGGGGTTCCCACTAAAAGGCACAAAAAGAGGGTGGATATATACTAATGAAAATAGTATTCGGGGTAGCACTAATTTGAACATTTTTTTTTTTAAATTAAGGGTGTGCAATTACACAACCTTGTGCACAGCCAGCTCTGCCATTGCATGTATTGGTTGACATTATAGACTCAATTTAAATATTGTAAATTGAAATCGAATTTGAAAATGAGGCCTGGTAGAACTGTGGTGGCAAATCCAAATATCTGTTAACATTTAAATTTATATATGTATGATATACATATTTTAATAATAATAATTGAACTATTATTACAATTGGCCATGATGCCATGAATGTGTTACAGCAAGGAGACAGCAAATCAATCTGCAAAATAAAACACAAACATTAATACCATCTGTTGCATCTACTTTGACAAAATAGCATTAAAACAGTCCAATTGCATATGGTAGTAGCTTTCATGCAACTTTAAATAATCATCTACCATTCTCAAAACAGCTACTCAATCCTTCCAAGTTGCAACTACGTAATATTATATCACCTCTCAAATTCTCACCCGAAAACGTGCGCACCACTTTATAATCACGTAATCATCACCAAATCTGAGAGTATATTCTTTTTTGAGTTCTACTTTGAAGCCACCCTTTAAATTCTAGTTTTTCCGGGACACAATTACTTGGAGTTGGAAAAAGGAACCAAACACACACAAAAGCAACAACAATTTTGTTTTTTTGTTTTTATTTGGCAAGTGGAAATGGATAGTTCTGTGAATACAGATTCCGTGGCAGAAGATGAAATCAAAACAAGTGGTGCTGAAGGACAAGAAAATGTGGAAAATGTGGAGGCGGACGAAATCAAAACCGGTGGTGATGAAGGACAAGAAAACGCGAAAAATGTGGAGGCGGACGAAATCAAAACCGGTGGTGATGAAGGAATAGAAAACGAGGAAAAGGTGGATGAAGAGGTGGGCCCGGCTTCGATCGAATCTTTTGTGGAAGAGTTCAAAAAAGCTGAAGAATCTGTGGTTGAGAATGTGACTCAAACTTCATCTAGTTATGTTACTCAAGTGGATAGGGAAATTAAGAACCTCGTAGCTGATCCATGGGGTATTCTCAAGAAATTTGTTCCTGAGGAGACATTGCCCACTTCAGACAAAAGTGTTGGAGATTCATCGGATGCTGCTGCTAATAAGTCCACGTCAGCAGAGAAAAATGGAGAAGAAGATTGTGTGGATGAAAATCCAAGAGCCACGCATGGTCAGGTATGATGATGATATTTCAACGCCTTCATCTCCGTTTTTCGTAAAAATCAGTTTCTTTTCGAGAATTTGCTGACTTATTTTAATTTATTTATCACATTAAATATTTGGGGGCAGCCACTTGCTGCGGTGGCTGCAACATCGGCAACATCACCTGCTTCGTGGATGAATTGCTGTGGTTTGCTTGAACTTCTGAGACCTTCCGATAAGTGATTCTGGTAATTTCCGGTTCTTCGAATTTTTCAAATTTATTGTAATATCATATTTCTTGATTTGGGTTACTTACACGTCACGTGACAGAAAGCAGTCTTTGTAAAAATTTGCAGGCAGAAGGATAAGACTCCAAGTTGAAGAGAATTGGTGTCAAGGGTTGAGTTACATACACATCATACATATCATATAATAAGGTGCTGCCTCAAGTACACCATGATTGTTTGGATTCTTAATTATTTTCCAGTGAAATTAATTTCGTTTGCATTGTATTCTCATTTTCACAAGCTGTACTCTCTCACACAAGGTTTTGTTGTATCAGATGTATTTCTTATTTTCAGATCTAGTTATGCAGTTTTTGTGCTTCTTGATTTTAATTTTATCATTAATTATTAATTTTTATATTTTGAGTTATTATGTTGGGTTTCATGTAATATGGTTTGAAATTATTTGAACTAGTTCCACCAAATTCTCTAATAACAGAAAAAGCTAATTCAAATAGTAGTAACAAACATAGTAGCCATGGCAATCTCAAACTATGAAGTATTGACCAGATCTTATTTCCAACTAGCTAACAAGTCATAAAACGTCGACATTAATCGAATTACTTCACCCACTCAATGTGATCAAGACATGGAAAGATACTTGTCAAAGATCGAAAAGGTCAAAAAACAAGTAAATGAGATATTATCATCCAAAAGCTGTTGTTCCAGTAAACAGAGTGCAGACTACTCATAATCAAACATACTGTTGTAAACATGATGAATCTCTCAAGTTACAAATAATAACTCAAAACTTGATCCAAAATATAGTTAAAGTGACAATGCTCTAAATATGGAGTAAGTTCCCAAGCATTATTCCACAACCAAATTTAAAGAAACTGATTCCCAAACTCCATAAAAAACATAACACAAATCCAAAAAACACCACCTATCAAAATTTAAACTCTCTTTTTTAAATCATTTCATCGGAAAATAAGTCCATCTAACCTCGTCGCCAATTAGTGCTTTTTAGCAGCAGCGTGTACGTAGCAAGCAACCCCCATCACAGCAACAGCAGCAAAGGTTGAACCACCGACGAGAACCCAATCCTTTTGCTTCAAACCCCCAATTATTAACCCCTTCTTCTTTTCACCCCCATTATTTAAACCAAGGTCTCGATTGACTATTTCATCAACTTCTCTTGCCTTCGTTTCGAACACCCTAATCACATTATTTTTCTCCTTCAAACTATTCTCTAGAATAGTGATTTCCCCCTTCATTTTCACAATCGAACTCTCCAACGCTTGTCTCACTTTCTCCAAATTCTTGCAAATATCAACAATCCCAGCCAACTCCTCAATCTTCTTCTTCAAACCCCGAATCTCCTTTTCCTTGACGTCAGATTCATCCCTCAAACTCGTTTCGAATCCCTCGAGTTTCTCAACCTTGGCCAATAACAAATCTCTCTCCTTACCAATAACCTCCAACTTAACATCCTTGTCCTTCTCCCTCTCTTTTGCTCCCTCCAATTCCTTCTTCAAGTTCGACACTTCAACTGTATTTTCCTGTAAATCACTCACTGCAGATACCAAATCGTGATGAAGCCTCGACACATCAATTTCGAGTTCTGCAGCTCGGGCCGCCACCGAACCCAAGGTCTTGATTTCTGACTCTGCTTTCTCGAACTTGTTCTTCCACTCCACATTCGCACCGCTCAATTCTCGGACGGATGCCTTCAATTCTTCGATTTCCTGCTTATAACCCTCATTTTGTTGAATGTTCTTTTTGTTTTCGAGCTCTAGATCGGTGATCTTCTGGGTGAGGACTGAAATTTTCGACGAAGCTTCTTCTTCACCGGTAATTTCCACCGCCCGGTCATTAGAAAAATCTCCGTTGATCACTGTTTCATCAGCCATTTCTAATTCCTAAACAAGAAAAACAACATGATTAACCATTTGACAGAAAAAAAAAAAAAAAAAACAGAGAGAGAGAAGAACAAATCATAACTTGATAACTTGGGCTCGGATGTAAATCAAGATATCAAAAAAAAAAACAGAATTATGCGAGTTTCTTAAAAATTAACAGCAAGTATGAGTGCTTTACGTTTCAAAGCAACGAAACAGGGTTTAAGAGCTGGACTGAGGGTTTTCTAATATATATTTTACAATATGTTTCGGATCCTGAAACTGGATTATTTTGATGGATAAATTACAAGGGTAAAACGAAGGAAGCATACCTTTAGCTGCAGAAATGCGGGAGAATTGTGGTGGGATTCAATGAAATGAAATGAAATTAGGGTTACAGATCTTTTTACAGGGAAAAGGAGAAAGAGAATTTTTTCCAATTGGTTGGCAAATCAAGTAGAGAGAGATTATGCTTAGCACGTGCTGAAAGGATTTAGGGTATGCGAATTGGTCACCCCAATAGTAAAATTGCGTGATGGGCCGAGCCTTCAAATTTTCTTCTTTTACAAGTAATCGATCACTAATGCTGAATAAATCCTGCTCTTGTATAATATTACAAATTAATATCGATGTTTTATCTTTTTATTTAGTATTTTTTTATCAATATTTTATCTTTTCATATTATATTTTTATTATTAAAGAAAAGATCTTACATTTCGATTTTGTATACCTAGTATTCATCTTATATCTTATATATAAAAGAAAGAAACGCTAGGGCAACCCTAAGAAACCCTAATGTCATATTTGTAAATTTTTTTCAATTTTTATCAAATTTTTATCCCCTTAATATTAATTTAAATATTATTTTCGAATTTTATCATATTTGTATCCCCTAAATATTATTTTAAATATTATTTTTTATTTTTTATCAGATTTTTGTCTACTAAATATTATTTTTTATTTTTATCAAATTTTTATCTCCTAAATATTATTATAAATAATATTTTTTGATTTTATCAAATTTATATCTCCTAACTGTAATTTTAAATATAATTTTCAACTTTTAGCAGATTTTTATCTCCTAAATATTATTTTCGAATTTTATCATATTTATATCTCCTAAATAATATTTTAAATATTTTTTTCGAGTTTTATCATGTTTTTATTAGTTTTTTATCTCCTAAATATTATTTTCGTTTTTTATCAGATTATTGTGTCCTAAACATTATTTTCGATTTTTATCAAATTTTTATCTCCTAAATATTATTCTAATTATTATTTTCATATTTTATCAACTTTTATCTCATTAACATTATTTGAAATATTATTTTCGATTTTTATCAAATTTTTATCTTCTACTATTATTTTAAATTTTATTTTCTATTTTTATCAGATTTTTATCTCCTAAATATTAGTTTTTGATTTTTTTATCAAATTTTTATCTCCTAAATATTATTTTAAATATTATTATCGATTTTCATCAAATTCTCCTAGATATTATTTATAATAATCTGATTTTCAATTTTTACAGAAAAGGGTAAATAAATCTGATTTTCATCCCTAGCGGATTTTGTAACATCGTTTTACAGAATGTCCGCAACATTTGAATTTTATGTCTTCCCTACCTAAGGCTTCTTCTTTTGGTAAGCCGACTTTAGATTTTGTTTCTTATATTCTTCTTCATCCTATTGACTGTGTGGCAATTAGTTTACATTTTTTTCCATCATGGCTTATAGGTAATTTCATTTTGTTAAATTATGTGTTTCATCAATTTATACCAAAGTTTTCAAATTTTATGTATAACAATTATTTCATTTTATATGTTATTGGACATGTTATTGAAATGGATGATTTGAGAAAATTAACCAAAAATGGGCGGAGCCACAAGCTATTGGAAGTCGACCTTCAAGACTTATTGTTTGTATGCGATATTTAATTTATTGTTTCTTAATTTTCCAATTGTTAATTCCAGTGGCAAAACAGCCTTAAAATGAAGCAGTGGAGAAGGGCTTAGTTCCGATGCAAGATGTATAGATGGCATTTTACGATGGTATGTTGTCGAAAGTTTAGTTTTGATTATGTTAACTTAGTTATTAAATCTAATTACTTTTAAGCTCAACATGAAAGACATAATTGATGATTTTTTTCCTGGTTCAAATTTTCAATCTACTGGTATTAGCTGATTCAATTCATACGATACTTATTCAACAGTAAAGTTATGTCTTTTTTTTTGTGTGTAGTATACTTAATAATGTTCCAGTATAATAGAATTTTGATCATACGATACATCAAACGTTTGTTTATATTCTTACAACATCAAAACAGCACGGGTACAATTACTAGTTATTATTTAATTTCCACACACACACACACACACATATAAGAATCGATGGCAGCACCAGCTTTTCCTCCCTTTTTCTTTCCTTTTTCTTTTGTCACTTTAATACTAAAACGACGTCGTTTTAGGAATATTTTCTCCAAAAGTAACTAATCCCAATTTTCTTTTCCAATTTCTTATAATCGGGTCGGTACTCTGCAGTAGTGGGTTCCTGACGTAAATTGACGTGTGCAGCCCATTTTTAATTGCTTTCCTTCTCTCATCTTTCTTTCCTTTAGTTCATCTCCTCTCGCCTCTTTCTGCAACCACTCCACCGCCGCTCTCTTCAGTGAGAAAATGATTTAAGGTATTAAAAATAAGGGTTCTATGTTTAGGCTGAATATAAGGGTTCTGCATATTGAATTATTTTTGCGGTACTTGGTTTCATGTTGGGGTTTTATGTTTAAAGTGCACACATAATTGATTTCCAACTTCCTCTTTCATTGTTTATCGCCATTGGAGCTTCATTTTGTAAGATTTATTGTTTATTTCTTCCATTTTTGTTAATGTTGCTTGTGACCTCGGAAGAAATTTATTAATTAAAACAAGTGTAAATTCTTTTAGTTATATTTTATTTTTAAATGAAATTCTTCAATTCGTAGTATCATTTATTTATTTATTTACTTCTGAAATTAGATTGAGCCAGAATTAAGCTTTGTTTGGTTGAAGATTTATTTGATAATTGAATTAGCTAATATATTGTGATTGTGTTTCATTTCTTAAAAATATCAGCATGCCATTGAGGTTAATTGTAGTTAGACCAGGGGAATTTGCTTCAATGATTTTCTGGTCCATCGGCGCCTATTGGGTATCGATATTTTCATCTCTGGTGTTTTTCGAAAAAAACCCTTGCATCGTTGGTTAAAAATATTTTATGTTGTATTCGCACTGCGTTGATTTTTTTTTTCTTTTTTACCAAAGAATCTTATGTGACCTGTTTATTAGTCGTAAACTATATTCTTATGTAGATTTTATATTTCACTTGCAATAACATAATGCTGCTGCACACCTCTTATGTATATATATTTCCGTCGAATATAAATTGGTTTGCCATTCTCGTAGCTCTTTATTTGTACGCCCATACCGAAGTTATTTATTCAGTATTTACCTTTGCTGTACTGGAAAAGTGATGATAGTATCATTTTATGATTTTCTTTCCAGTACACAACTACACATTGCTTTAATTCCTTTGGTTGTCTTTATACAGGAAAATCTTGAGAACATTTCACGGCCTCATATTTCTGAGAAAAGGGAATTTTGTCAGAGGTGTCTGCAAAAAAGAGCTCCTTCACGATTTTCACGCATACATTGATATTTCACATTTTGTAAGCCTCAAGCCCTTCATATATTATTCCGATTTCATGAAATAGTTTTCTTATAGCTTCTACTGCTAATTTTAATCAATTAGATTAGCAAACAATATTATATAAATAACTTGCTACACTACTACTAACAAACGATATTTTTATGTGTGTGTGTATATTAGCAAGATAGACATCAATTGCGACCCTGACTTATAAAATATTATGAATGTCAATAAAGATTTTTGGTTCAAACCAATCAGTAAAAATACATGAGGTACAAAAGTAATTTTGCGTATTAAACTTTAGTTTAGGTAATTTTTCGTATTAAACTTAAGTTTAGGGGTCTTTCTAAATATGCATAGTTAGGGGTAATCTTACCAGCTACAATTTATATGCATATTATTTTTTTGCCAATGCAGTAACATTGTTCTCAAATTTCCTGATACATCTATGGCCAGCGACATTACAAATGATTTTGTCTCATTTGTTTTCAGAGTAACAAGAATTGCTCATTTTTCTTGCTAAAGAGTTATTCCATAATTTTGGATTATCAGCCTTTGGATGGATTCTACAAGTATCTGTAACATGTGTAACAGTTTTAGTGCCGATTCATAATTTCGTTTTATTTTATTTTTTTGCATTGCACAAAAATGCAATATCGGTGCATGTTTCGTTTGAGATTGTCTGGATTTTTGGTTACTTGCGAGGGTGTAAGTTTTACATACTATGAATTGTGATATATGTAGTATTACAAACTCATAAATGAAACAATATATGGTATGATTTGTGAATATCGACAGTATGCAGTAACCGTTGTTTAATCCTCTCATCTCTGGCAAACAACTTATTTTTCCCCGCACTTGTATCTTGTACTACAGGTATGACCAAAGAAAAAAAAGGGCACGCCAAATGTGGGCCAATGATAAA